ACATGAAATTCTAATTAAATTTTTCAACCTGTGATATCTTAATTTTGTAAAATTTAATAAATATAATAGAAAAGGTTGCTGTAAAACAGTAAATAAAGCTGTACGCTTTATTTTACTATGCCGCGCGAAATATTGTGCAATGGATACCCCTGTCGGCTTTTTAATTTTTGAAAAGTTATTCAAAAGCACATTTATCTTACCATTTATATATTTAAGTCTGGCAATCTTAAATAAAATGTTTATTTACTCTCTCCCTGGATAGGGTAAAATCATTGATTGTGTAGGTAGGTGAGAAAAATTTTTTCCTGACGGGATAAGAAATTTTAAGAAAATATATCGTGTCTTGGGTTGTAAAAAAGTTTTGAGTCGGGCCCTTTTTAGTCAGTTGGTCGGTTGAGGGCAATCAAACGATTTTTTAAAGATGGTCTCACGTATAATTTATGGTTGATAACAACAGTTACTACTTTACTATCATTGTGCATATGTATGTATTAAATGTTTCTGTCTAGTAGATAGAATTTCGATTTATATTTTTTAATTAACAGACTACTGTCCTCGGATTTTGACGTCTATTTACCCATCAAAAGACAGAGTGGTCAAGGTGGGTATTGCAGTGGGAACTATCATGAAAGATCCCATTCCATCCGGTCTCTACTGGGTGACGTATGATTTCAGTGACATCAATGAGGTGGTTTCTTACAAAACTTTAGAGGACTTTGAGTTGGATATTTTCCAAGAAAAACTCAAACTTCCGTTTTTCTGTGAGGGTACAGGGCATACAGTGTACAAAAACTACTTTTACTGTCAAAAGATGATGACAAATAAAATTGTAAGGTATAATCTCATGGAATCTCGTTGGTTGGGAGAATTGGAACTTCCGGGTGCAGGTGCGCATAACGCTTATCCATACCAGTCGGATCGGTTTAGTGATATCGACTTTGCAACGGATGAATACGGATTATGGGTAATTTATGCGTCCTCGGCATCCAGCGGAAATGTTGTTATCAGCAAGATTAACGAGGACAATTTTACGATTTCAGAAACATGGACGACACTGATCCCCAAACGCACTGTTGGAAATACGTTTATGATCTGTGGAATATTATATGCAACGGATTCTTACACTAATTCGCCAACGTACATTAAATACATTTATAATACCCAAAACGGGGGTAATAAAGAACTAAAAAGCACGGAAATAACGTTTACAAACACTATAAGGAATGAATTTGTTTCAAACTATATGCTTGACTATAACCCATTGGACCGGAAGTTATATAGTTGGAATCATGGGAGGATTGAAATATACTCAACGATGTCCTCAACAATCGATAAATAACGAGAAATAATGGAATGCAGTACAGTTTCAGGATAAAAAATGAGATTCATGAATTCGATTATTTTGGAGAGTGTATTGTTATTACGGAAAGTAACAAAATTACTCTGTGACCCGAAAAAAAATTATTGATTAGTACTTTGTTAATAATTTATGGCCCCACCATTATCTGATATAAATAGTATGTGTCTCTCCTCAGTATCTTTATAGACGTAGTGGTAATCAACGATGCTAATGGCGGCAAGTGCACGGGCAAAAATTAAATTACAGATTATTTGCTTGCATAAAAAAGGTTGTCACTAAACTATAAAATTCATGCTTGTCTGGCCTTGTAAACAATTTCACATTTTATTTTACTATATCTGCTTTTTAAGATTTTTTTTTTCTTTCCTGTGTTTAATATCAATTTAAATTATTTTTGTGTTTTAATGACAATTTCTTTTTTATAGTAGATTTTTTTTGCCAGAATGTTTTAAAATCACAATATCTTATTTTGATAAATTGCTGAATTTTATTTGTAATTGTATTTTTGACATTTTTTGACATAAAATCGACTGAAACAGCTTTTTTAAAGCTAGGACATCCAGTTACTTAGTATTGTTACTGTACATAGAATGGTTGTAAATAGTCGGGAGAATAACCCGGGACGTACAGTTCTGATCTTATAGACACAATTCTGTTTAAAACAATTTTGAAAACTCACATTAATTTTAATCTTTCTGAATATAAAGCTTCTGGAAAAGCTTAGATATTTCAAATCTTCAAACGTAAAGTACTAATTTAAAAGAACACTCTTTTAGTCCCGAATAATACATCCTTGTAACATGGTCAACAAATTGGACAAACGGGTCATTTTTTCCATGTACACGTGTGATCTATGTACATATATGAAATATGGAGTGTTCGAGGTCAAAACTCCATTGAAACAAAACAGATCGGGAGAAGAGCAAACAAGGACCTCTAAATCTTCAAGGGATCAGGTACCATGGAGGAGTAAGGCATCCCCTGTCACACCCGACATGTACTGTGTTATTTGTCATGATTGGGCAAATGGAAAACCTGAGACATTTCAGTGGTTAAAAAATGACCTTACAGATGGCATGAATGATGAGAAACAATTGGAACAAGGGCAAAGAGACAGAGTATGTCCTTGTTATTGAGATCATCGATCTTGATAAAGTTATGTGAACCTTCGTTGCGAGGGGAAAGTAAATTACCTTCTTTTTTGTTTTGAATAAATCAGTTTTTCTGTAGAAAGTAAAGGTTTATATAATAAATATTGTTAAAAGCTCTGTATTTCTCTTTGTTTTCACTTTTTAATTAGGTGTTGAATTTAATTTATTGTCAAGTTCTTTCTGACCATTTGTTTTGTATTCAAATCTCCTCAGTGACATAAAATTACATCAAATAAGTCCTAAAAAGACTAAAATTAATTCATTTTTTAAATTATTTTTAATGAATATAAATTGCACATATTTAATGCATTGTACCTTGAAATTTTATTTTTAAAAAATTACATTAGAATAATATCTTGTTAAAAAAACAATGAAAAAAGGAAACAGAACAAATCTAATGAATTATAGTAACATACATGTACCAGTATCTGCTTCAAAATACATGTGTATACTGGATACCATTCGTTCTTGATCTATCGAGATAAACATTAAAACAAAATGATTTGAATAGATCTGTCTATTATCGATTTTGATAGACCATTTTCTTCCATACACGTTAAATTTCAACTACAACTGACAACTGTTTGAATAATTTTTTTCCGTTTTTCAAAGTAGCACCAGAATTTGAATCAATCACTTTGAATTCCCTTTCGATGAAAATCCGCACTGTTAATAAAAAATGAACATATGATATAATAAAATCATAGTGATCAAATCTTCATTGTTTTGTTGTTTAAATATTCTTATTCAATAATACTTTTAGATATAAAACCTCCTCTTTTTTTATTTTATGACTATCAATTTCTACAATTAAAGATCAGAAATTAAAATTTACCATCATTCCTTGGAACAAAGACTTCATAAAGTTAACGGGTTTTTGCTTGCCTTCGATTGGACTACTGAATTTAACAATTATTTTCTTATTGGTCTTTTCTTTTTTCGATCGCTGAAAGCAATGAATAATAAACATTAAACGAACATTTCATAATTAGTACAATTATAAACAAAGTGGTTAATACCAAAACCTTATCGTAGCTTTCAACGATAATTTATACTTTCAGCAACTCATTGCTACATGTTTAACGTCTAGCTTTGGGGATACTACATGTAGTATTACTGGAGTATTAATTTAAAGAACAAGATATATTTAGTCCCCCTTTGTTCTCATAGTTTCGGAAGTTTTTAAGAAGGCTCAGATCATCCAAACATGTTATCAACCCCATTAAAAAAATAAGCATTGACACATACCCAAAGGTCACAGAAAGATCACAAAAAAATGTTCATCAAATTTAAAGTATATTTATTTTCAGCAAACACAGGGTACAAGCTGCCTACCTACCAAATCTATACAGTTTATGCAGTAGTATACAGTTTCATCTTGTTTACATAATATCTAAGCTGCAGAAGTGTACAGTACCGACCAGACCCAACCTGATACCAAAGCAGTCCCAGAAAGCAGTCCCCGGGACTGCTCTGGGACTGCTTTGTGTCAGGTTGGGTCTGGTCGGTACTGTAGCGTTATTGTTTTATACAAGAACATCTAATAAAATCTCAGAATATAGCAATCTTGTGCTTTATGTTTCCCGAAGTGAAACTATAGTGTTTCATGATAAAACCCTAAAAAATTATAAGAAATTTGGTAAAATATCCTTTTTTGACACCCTCTTGTGACCTCCATGTACGCTTTAAATGAAAAACAAGCTAATTCAGAGAATTTGTGTCCCCCGTTTAGGGAAAAAGTAAACCATGCGCAGTTCGGGGCGGGCGGGGGGGGGGGGGGGGTTCGGATCCCCGTGACTGAATTTGTAGAATTATTAAATGTATACATGTATACTAAAGCAAATAAAATATGCCAATATGGATATAAAGATTTGATTGCTTATTCTTTATTATGTGTATAGAAGATTCTTTTTATATGGAATATTTATCACACTGTAATGATGATTTTATGAGTTTGTACAAGCTAGACCTAAAATATTTTTCATTTCACATGCTGAATACTATCATTTAGTAAAAAAAAAAAGTATTTCGAAAAAAAAAATTGAATCGTCCGGGATGCGAACTCAGGTCCTCTCACATGTGAAGCGAGAGACATACTACTGGACAACGGAACTGCTTTACACTAGCACAAATTATATGCAAAGATGAAGTCACATACATGTATATATTCACGTTCGATATTGTCAAAATTTTACACAATGATAGGTGTCTAATTTAACCTTTATTAAACAGTTCTAATAGATGTAATAAGAATATAAAGTCCACCGAGAACCTGTTTTTACGTAATAACTCTACTCATGCCCCAGTGCTATAAATAGCGACATGTAATACAATAAAAACTAATAAAACAAACGGGACGGGACACTTTGAGAGGGGTAAGAGAGGTCCTAGGGAATTTTGGTATAAAATTACATTGCGAAAGCTTAAAATCTTCTTGAAATATCGCCCGGAAAGGATAATGTTTCATACAGACAGAATGTATAAATTTACGACCTTGAACTTTGACCTTTTGACCTCAAAATCAATAGAGGTCTTTCTTAGGCCACAGGGAGTTGTTATGTAAAACATCATTGCAAAAGCTCAAAGGGTTCTCGAGATATCGCGCGGAAACGAAAGTGTTATAACAGACAGAATTTGCGAATTTATGACCTTGACCTTTGACCTTTTGACCTCAAAATCAATAAGGTTCTTTTCTAGTCCATAGGGAGTTGCTATGAAAAATTTCATTGTGAAAGCTCAAAGGGTTCTCGATAAATCGTGTGGAAACGAAAGCGTTACATACAGACAGAATGACGGACGGACAGACGGACGGACGGACAGACCCAAATTAATATCCCCCACTTTTCAAGCGGGGGACAACTAGAGCTGGTTTTAAACCAAGCGTCTTTTGAAAACACGTCAACTACAAACTTTCACAATTTTAACTGTTTTGTTTTTTATAGGAACATAGGAGTCATACCTTGTCCTCATTCTTTGAACTCATACTTACAAAGAATTAATGAACTTAAATCTTATTTATGCTATAATCACATTTTAAAAATATTTACAGTGTTAACAGTATCTTGGACTAACTTAAGTAAGCAATATTCTACGTACCGATGGAAAAGGTTCTATAAATGTTGCTGCATCATGGAAAGTGCCATATAGACTTATGGGCGTCCATTCTGGTACATACAAGTGACAAAACTACAACACCCCGAATATGAAATTGTAGAACATATATATAATAAAACAAATATTTCGTTATTCGAACATTTGAAATCTGTTAAATTAATTATAACCGATCTGTTTAATGTGTTATAATGAATTGCAAATTTGGTTTAGCTATATTTTTTTTCATTTTAGCACGTTCTTAATCCTGTTATATCGAATTAAATTTGTTTAAACAAATTCAATCATTTGATATATCGAATTAATTTCGTTAACAATAATTCGATTTTTCGAATTCATAGATATTTTTCTATAGGCCTTAAATGCTGAATTTTATTTCACGAATTCAGTTAAAACAGCTGTCAGCTATATGTTGCAAGAATGCATTGAGATTGTACAAAACAGTCGGGAGATGCACCAGATGCTAGACAGTCTGAGTAAGTATAAAAGAACTTTTTATTAGCCTTTATAATTCAATACATTTGATCGTTTTGAGGACTGCTACTTATACATTTTAACTGAACGATGGTTGTGGTATTTCTCTCAAGTAGTGTAATAAATACAGTAAATAATGTCATATACAGTGTAGCACCAACTAATCTCGTATTTTAAAAACAGCAATAATAAAAAAAGGAATATTTATTGTGGTATTCATAACTTTATACCTATTATGAAGCCGTATATCTATATTTGTTTGTTGGTTAACGTCCCTCTCGAGAATTTTTCACTTGGACAGAGTATAGAGACGCCGCCACTTGCTGCAGGTGGAGAGCTGCAAATGTTGACCTTTACTCGGTTATCAAGTCCATTGAGCAGGGAGGGATCTTTTTCGTGCCAGCATCTACTATGACAAGGGTCCTCGTTTTAAACAATACCAACCAGACTCAACCTGACACCAATTTTTGAATCAGTTCCAATCTCGTTCCAGAGGGTGTATTACGCTTCGCTAAAACACCTATGTCAACGTCTAAATGCCAAGATTCTTGGCAAAACTTAATTTTACCCATTTGAAGGGCATTTCATCTTAAATTATAATTTTTTATATCATTGGCTTAAATCTTGAATTAAAGTATATTAATGAAAATTAGTAGCAGATTTACCCTTTTAACCATATCTTACAAGGAATTCTTTCTCGGGAGGATTTTGAGAACGTGGAATGTTCAAAATACATCGCCAACAAATATCAACAAGTTGAGTTCTTGTAGACAAACAACTTGCAGCATTGACACATTATACAGAAATGCACAGGTTTTAATCTCCCCGTGGGCCACTTTGAACAATAT